CTTGTAGAGGGCTTTAAAATTTACAGAGTGCTTTCCTTATAATGACCCTGTGAGGTAGGCAAATATAGTTATCTAGGAAACTGAGGCTTAGAAAACTGAAGTGATCTTCCCAAGATTACACAGCCAGTAAATTTCAGAGCCAGGATTTGAACCCAATCCCTGTGCTTTTTTATGCTGTGCTGAATTTGTGTTGAATGAGTAAAAGTTTAGAGTCATGAAAACAGATGGCACATTGAGAGTACAATGGGTAATAAATTTGACTTGAAACAAAATTTATGTGGGAAGCACTATACAACTTGTGCTTAATTGTTAAAGGGAAAAATGCAGTGGAAGTGAAGATTAATTCTATAGATAGTTTGGGATATGATTGGGAAATAAAGACTACAGGAATTAGACAAGTAGAAGAAAGCAAGAGGTCAGAATATGAAAGAAACAAGACAGGTGAAGTTAAGGAAGCTGCAGTCTGTTTGCACTGACAGTGTGAGTAGAGGGTTTGAATGTAAAGGGTTTTGAAGCTTTGGAAAGGGAGATTTGAAGAAGGCTTTTGATCTCATTGAGATAAGAAAGTTGTGAGAAATGTTATTTGATTATTCCTTATGATATATAATATATAGAAATATAATTGCAGCATTGGATTATTTAAGGATAACATACCAAAATTCTATCTTTGAAGGATCGTTAGGAGGGTATATTTTAGTCTTTATGTGAGGAATATACATTCATAATGAAAATGCAATACTCACTTTTAAATCTTTGGCAGTAGACTAAGTAGGAGTAACTGGCAAAATATTACCATTTGAAATTAACCAAGTAAACCCAAACTTGATTTGATTGAATTTTTTTCTAAACTATGAAACTAAATTATGTGGTCTCGTTTACAATGAGATGTATTAGCCTATTAGGATAACTGTAGTAAATCAGAAGTAAATGCCAAATACATTGAGTACATGTCTCAGAAAGCCCAAGTTCAGGTCTGGTCTCAGAAATTTATTGGCCGTGTGACTTGATGTAAGTTACTTCACCTTTGTTTATCCCAATTTCCTAATCTGTAGAGGGATAATAGCACCTACCTTCCAGGGTTGTTGGGAAGATCACGTGATTGTTAATTGCTTAGCACAATTCGTGGCGCATGGAAAACCCTATATAAATGTTAGTAAATGTAAGTACTCTATATTGGTCTTGAATGCAATCAATATAGAATGCAGAAGGTGATGAGATGAATGATTTTCTATGTAGGATGATTTGGAAATACATTAGACTGAATCAATGCCAACTGACTGGTAATAAGTTTTGTTTCATGTTTTAAATACATGGTATCATGTATGTTATCACTGTGTTTCTAAATTTTTCTTATATTGTGAAATTTAGTGTGCCATCATTAGATTAAGGGAGAAGCTCCTTTCCAGCAGCATTCTGATACAGTGGCATACTGCAACTTCTCTTTTAATCTGGATGCTGTCAGATTGTGAATTAATCTGCTAAAAGAATGTGGTAAAATGTTTAAAAATGGTTAAATATTTGAGATGTTTTGATTTAAATTGGATAATATTAACAATGATAATAATTTACTCTTGGGAGAAAGAGTAGCAGTTATATTAATTGTTACTGCACACTTGAGATCAATAATAATAGCCTAACCCTAAACTGTGATTAGTGAAATTTTGCTATTTAAGATAAAATCTCTTGGGACTGTAATTTGATATTGTTCTAAGTTTTGATTTCAGGTATGGTTGTATGGATTGGTATTAAGCCAGTAATCGTCCAGCATTCAAGGGGAATGCCATATGTACTGAGGTCTGAGAACTGCTACAGGTGGATGTCTGTCCTTGGGAAAAGTTGAGGGGATGACTTTGTATAGACAAAGATAGGATCCTCTTGGCTCAGTTTCCCCATTGTGCTCTCTTTCTACACTGGAAATTTCCCCACCTGGTTAATTATGAACCTGGCTTTTGATTCCCTATGAATAATGTGGAACTATGCTATGTGACTGGCTGTTAACTATGCCTGGAAGCAAACAGAACGAAGGAAGTTTTCTCTTATTGTGCTTTATGTCAGGTCAGTAGGTGCTCTTGAGGGGACAGTCTTGATATCATCATAACCATGTCCTTCCTTTTTCCTTTTATAGAAAATTTCTGTAAATACAGCAGGTGAATAGTGAAAGTTTTGTGCAATACTAAATTTATTAATTAATAGATTAATATTAAAACATCTCTGAGTTTATATAATAGGGATGCAAGTATGAAAAATCTTTCCATTTTGATCAACTCATTCATATACAAGATTACTCATACCTTCAGGTGATTTAGGGATAATATTCTCATGGGGGAGGACTTACGATTTACATCTGAAAGCAAAAGGATCAGTTTCCTCATCTATATGTATATGTATACACACACAGTTGGTTTATATATGATTGGTTTCCAAATGTTTGTAATGGAATATACAGGCCTTGAGTATGTTTTCATAATAGTTTCTCAAAATTGGGTTAAGTATTTTAATTGCATTGATAATTGAAATTATTTCCCTATTTTGAAGTCTCTGTCTGATGTAGGCTCTTCCTTTAGCCTGTTGATAGCATTGTTCATATCAGGTAGAGGGTTCAAGTGAATATAGAATGAGCAAATGGTATGTAAAAAATAAAACTTTCAGAAGTTTCAGGTGAATGATGGGTTCCTAATTCAATGTTCTTCTTATAGCTCTGTTGTTAAAAGAATCAGAACCATAAGATTTGAGCTGGTTTTCACCACATGAACTGGTTAGAGGAGGAATTATACTAGATTTGCTTTTTCAATAACTGGTTCATGTGGCAGATTTTAGCAGAATTACCTAGGAATCTCTTCAAGTGCCTTGGAACCAGAGAAGCAGATCTACTAGGAGGAGCATCCTTCAGAATGCTGCCCTGAGAATGAGACCAAATCCGGAATGTCCAGGGGAAGATGTTTCTAGGGATCAGATGACTAACTGGGATGCCGGTGACTCAAGATGAAATGTGCTAATTAAATGAACATTGGGAATAGGTTACAGGCACAAGAACACTGAAATAACTTTAAGTAACCTGGTAACCTACTTGTTATTGTATTGCTTTGGTCTTTTTGTTTCATAGTATTTATATTTGCTGAATTTTCTTGGTTACCTTCTTGTTGAGTCAGTCCAGTGTGTCTGATTCTTTGTGAGCCCATTTGGGGTTTTCTTGGCAGAGACACTGAAGTAGTTTGCAATTTCCTTCTCTAGCTCATTTTACAGATGAGAAAACTGAGACAAACAGGGTTAAGTGACTTGGCCAGGATCACATAGCTAGGAAGTGTCTGAAGCTAGATTTGAACTCAGAAAGATGAAATTTCCCGACTCCAGGCCAGGCGCTGTATCCATTGTGCCACCTAGCTGCTCTTGATGACATGTACATCTCTCCTCTTAGTAAGTGTGTAGATGAGTGATCCATTGGGAACAGGTTCCTCAAGGATCAAATGGGGGGGGATGGAAGAGCCACATTAACTCCATTTTGTGAACAGCATTCATTTTGTGACATTAGACTTCTATATTCCTGTAAAAGCCTTGTTCATTTGGTTTCAGGGAAATACCATGAAATGTTCTGTATAACTTGTGGTTAGTACCTTTTGGTTTTGTCATACTCTGGCCAATCAGAAAGAAGAAATGCCCTTGTTGCTCAAGATTGTGGTACCTGATATGTACCTCATTACTGACTATAAGAAAGCTTTGTTATCTATTATTCAGTGTCTTTGTACCTATTAAGGTGCCTGGGATCCACTTTGTTATGCAACTGCATGCCTTGCGAATAATCAACATGCTAAGATGTAATTGCCTCAGCTTTTACGAATTTCATTTGTAACAGCAGTACAATATGTAGTGGGCTGAATGGAATCCAGAAGACCTGGGTTTTTACCTATTTGATTCTGGGCAAGTCATTTCACCTCTCTTGGCCTCAGTTTTCCTTACCTGTAAAATGTGTATTATAAGAGCACCTACCTTACAGGGTCATTGTGCTCATTGGACTTGGAATTGGGAAAACTTGAATTCAAATCCTGCTTCAGACACTTAGGTGTGTGACCTTGGGCAGCCTCAGTTTCTCAGTTTCCCATCTCTAAAAGGAAGATAATAATAATAATACCTACTTCACAGGGTTGTTGGGAAGATCAAATACAATAATACATGTAAGGCAGCTTGCAAACCCCAAAGCACTCTATACATGCTAGCTATTATTATTAGACCAATTTGTCAACATTTGTTCCTTTTTTTTTCGTTCTGAAACAGAGGCACAATCTTTCTAAGTATAGTATCTCAGGCAGTGTTCTGGAATTCTGATATACTAACTTGTTTGTTTCAGGGTTGAACCAAACCCTCGCTAAAACCACTCTGATTCTTAGTGTCTACATCCTTAGCGTCTCTGATGTTAACTTAATAGTTGTATCTTGAAACTAGGACATGATTAGGGGAAAACAATTGTCCTGTGGGGAATCATTACTGAAAAGCAATTTCAAGTGGTAATTCCTCTTGTAGAACCTGTTATTGCTGTGGCAACAGGCTGACTGCCCTCAACTCCTCCTCGAATGTCTTGTCATGGTGGAGAAGTGACTGTTGCTTTTCTGAAGCTATGACTTTGGAGTGTCAGCTTTGCAAAGGTCCTTCCAAGTCAGAGAGGCTTCAGGCATGAATTGTGTCTTTCATCTGAGGCTAAGTCTGGATAAGTGCTTGGAGATTCTTTTGCAGAAGCTTGACCAGGAGGTGATGATTTTTTTCCAGCCTCAGCGATTCATGAAACTATCTCCTAAAGCACAGAGAAGTTGGTGTCCTCACTGGAGAGTGTGTGTGTGTGTGTGTGTGTGTGTGTGTGTGTGTGTGTGTGTGTGTGAGAGAGAGAGAGAGAGAGAAGAATTTTAGATGCTGGACTTATCAAAGTGTTGTCATTGCCTGAACTCTATGGGGTGGTTTAATATTTTGCCATTCTGATATGGGTATTTATATTGGTATTTATCCTTTTCCAGGTGCTTGTCAAAGAACAAGTGGTTGCAATGAAACACTTATGCTGGAAAGGTTGCCTGCATGTGGCAAAGCATTTGAAGACATGATGAGGAAAGTGGACACAAAGAATTGGTGCAATTTGACTGAATTTATCATGTAAGTTCTTTTAGTGGATGAACAGATTGGGCCCTGGCTTCATGTTTGCAATGCTGAAAGTCCTCATTATTGTTCTAGGATTCTCCTAGAATTCTGTCCCAGAGACCTGGATCTTACTGAGTTATTCTTGGATAATCTTATTGAAGTCTATTAGGCAAGGATAGATAATGGGTGCATTAACTTTCCATTAACTGAACTATTTATCTCTGAACACCATGTGGAATCATGGAAACTCCAGCACACTTTCACACTCATTTCATAACTTCATTGTGTTCTACTGAAAAGTGTTTAAAAAATATTGTTCTACTGTAGCATAGCTTTATAACCAGAAAGGGAAGATATGTTCTCTTTAAAGAACTGAGTTATTTTTTGGAGCTTTAGCAATATATTTGATCTAGAATAGCCTAATCCTGTGCATACTGGTTGATAAAAGGAGGTAAGTGTGTAGGCATGAGTTTTTGCTCAGAAAGAAGGGCAAAAACCGGGAGCAAATTATTCAGGAGGAGAAAAGGGAAAATCTTTCCCTTCTTACCACAAAAATATGGACAAGGTGGAGATGGAATGCACATGGTCTGAATTTTCTCTTTCTTCTTCTATTTTCTGCTAAACCATGTCTAGTTGATAGTAAATTTTCCTTCCAAGTGACAGGGACTAGCTGTATAGTTGTATAATGAGAATGCTGAGCCACCTCTAGGCTAAGGCAGTGAAATGGCTCTTTGCTTCAAGTTTGAACTGATCTGGCAAGGAAAGCTATAACGGAAATTTACTGCAGTAAATAGGTCAGGGAAGGAATTAAAACTTCTCTTTTGAAAAAAGGAAAAAAAAGAGGGACATTCATTACTGTATGGGACTAGTGGAAAAGGTACCTGATTGTTTCTAGGTGTTTATATCTCTACACAGTATCTTAACCTAATTACCTATTGCTATTATAAATATAGTAACTAGTAAATGTTTATACTCAGTTTAATGAGGTAATTAAAAAAAAGTGTATTTGAATGGAAACTATACCATCCTCTTTGACTAATTTAAAGTGCCTTTGGTGCACCTAGACTTTGAACCATGAAATTATAACTAAGATAAGTTGCTGACCTTTCAAGTTTAAACACCTAACTAAAATGATGGCGATTGTCACAGTTTTATTGAATGTCTATTTTTGAAGATTTAGGGGACATTTTTCTTCTGGGTCTTCGGTGGCTATAGAGACATGAATTTTACATAATTTGCATCCTAAGTAAAAAAATAACTTTGATATATTCTCTTCTGATTACTAGGACTTTAATATTAGAGTTTATATGTTTGGGTCAAGACTTAGCTTTCACGAAGTCTGATAGATACTATTTTTTTTAAGACTGCTGACTCCTTTTAAGCTACTCCATAGCTAACCAAATCCCTGTGACTTTTTTTTTGTTAAAAGAATAAAACTATAGTTTTATGCAAGTTGGTTGTTTCAGTTGTGTCCTGCTTTTTATTATTCCATTGGTAGTTTTCTTGGCAGAGATACTGGAGTGGTTTGCGATTTCCTTCTTCAGCTTGTTTTATAAATGAGGAAGCTGAGGCAAACAGGGTTAGGTGACTTGCCCAGGGTCATACATCCAGTAAGTTTCTGAGGCTGGATCTGAACTCAGGGAGATGAGTCTTCCTGACTTCAAGATCAATACTCAATCCACTGTACCACCTAGTTGCCCATGTAAGTCAACAAGTTAACAGGTGTTTATTAAGCACCTACTATGTTCTTGGCACTGTGCTAAGTGCTGAGGATACAAAGAAAGACAAAAGGACAGTCCTTACTCTCAAGGAACTCACAGTCTATGGGGGGGGGGGAAGAACATGCAGACAACCATGTACAACTAAGATATACTACACATATACACACACACATATGATAAATAGAAGATAATAAATGAGTGGGAAGGCACTATCATTCAAGGGGATTAGGAAGGCTTTTTTGCAGAAGGTGGGACTTTAGTTCAGACCTGAAAGAAGTCAAAGGAGCCAAGAATGATTTCTCAACTATCTGCCTGCAGGAGACAGGTTATCTGCATGCAGTTTGAACATCATTTCCTGTCTCATGGCCAGCCCTGCTCCCTTTGCAGGAGAATCACATTACACCAGCTGCTGTGGCATGGGGGAGCAGGTCTGCCAACTGTGGTCCAAATGATGGATTTTCTTAGACCTCTTCTTATCTGGGCCGATGCTCCCCTTCCCTGATAGGCGGTGCCTTGATCACTGTAGACACTTCATAAATGATTGTAGGATTGGATTGGAAATTGTCGACTATAGTGTTAAATTTTTCTTTCAGCACTTTCTTTTTTATTGGATTTGTATCATTCCTTTGGGTGTTCTTCCTACCCAAGTCAGGGTACATGGTAGTTGAGTAAAAAATTGCCTCATCTTTGAAGGTTTCTATTACATTTAAGGCGTGTTCAGCCAAACTTTTCTCTGAGCTCTTCAGAATATAGCCCCGTGTCCTTAGAAGCTATAGAGGTGAGGATAACTTCTATTCAATCCTGGTGTTGGTGGGGGAGGAGGAAGGGTGCTTGGGGTTGAGATGGAATTGAAATTTTCTATCCTTTCATTTAATATGACTATAGGTTACACTTATATAGTACTTTCTGATTGAAAGGGCTAGCTAGGTAAAGCAGTGAACAGAGTGTCAGGCCTGGAGTCAGGAACACCTAGTTCCAATCTGGCCTCAGACACTTATTAGTGGAGTGACCCTGAGTAGGTCACTTAACCCTGTTTGCCTCAGTTTCCTCATCTGTAAAATGAGCTGGAGAAGGAAATGGCAAACCACTCCAGTGTCTTTGCCAAGAAACCCCAAATGGGGTCACGAAGAGGCAGACATTCCTGAAAAATGTCTGAACAACAATAACAGTGGTTTACAAAGTGCTTTACATGTTGTTTAATCCTTACAACACAGCAAGGCAGGTAGTTTATATGCAGTTAGGCACAGAGACAGGAGAAAGAGTGTCATGTTTGAAGAACAAGTTGTCCAGTGTGGATGCATCGTAGAGTGCTCAGAAGGGTGAAAAAGACTGGATAGATAGGAAAGGCTAGGTTGTCACATGTCAGTGTCAGAGACAGGATCTGAAGGTAGAAGTCTTCCTGACTCGAAGCCCAGAACTGAATTAAAAATGCTAGGCTGTCTCTTGGAAAATATTGTCTTACTGCTCCAAAGAGATAACAGTGCTCAAACACAATAGGCAATATATTTTGATAACAAACCTCTGGGCTTTTTTCTTCCTTTTTTTTAGATAAATTATTACCCAGGGATGTTACCCAAAGCCTAACTTTGAACATATAGGCTTCCAGGACTGTTGATACCAAGCCAGACTTAATGCACTATCTGAAACCTTCCTGGGATTAATCATTTGAGTGTTTATGAAATCACTTTGCCTAAATCACTAAAATTGTTTTCTAACATTTTATGATAAAGTAAATGGGAAGTTATTGACATACTTACCCATGTTCCCCTTTGCTGACAAAGTTGTTATCATGATGCTATGCAACACCATGTTTGGTGGTATTGCAGTTATTTCCAACTCCAGAATGAGCTTTATTCAGAGTGGAGATCCTCAGAAGATTCATTTAAAGTTATTCTTAATGGTTTGAATTGCAGTAATGGAAAGTATAATGGGCCAGACAATTCTTTTAATGCCCATAGATTTCCAGATAATATCTGGGTTTATTTCTTTAGGGCTTTCTCCTTGGTGTTTCATGTTAGTTAACAAAATGGCATTGCAAGTGGCATTTATGTTAAAGGAAACAACTGGACATTCTGTGATTCTGGAATTGGAAGAGGCCCCTGTACAGCCAGAGCTGACACTCAGAGTCCTTGTGCCTTCTCCCAATCCAGGATCCCCTCATTTCATACTTTTGAGCCACTGGAGACTCCTAGAAGAGTTTGATGTTAGTAATAAATAGCTGTGTGGCCAGAGCCACCTGTGGTTAACATGAGCTCAGGGCAGAGCATCACTAAAGGGTAGTAGACAATGAGGAAGACAGAAAATTGTGGTGGTGAGCTGCTTAAAGGGATACCTTGGGCCACTCACTATATACAAAAGTGGAGCTGCTTAAAGGGATACCTTGGGCCACTCACTATATACAAAAGTGGAGATATAATTTTAGTTAGATGAGATCAGAGTAGAAGGAAGTCTGCTGGGAAAATGGTGAGGTCACAACCTTGAGAGAGTCTTAGAGAGCAAGACAGGGAGGGAGGAAGTTAGATTAGTCAGAACAATCATGAACCTCCAGTCTAAGTTCAAACTCCTAATCAACATGTAGGGAGAATATAAAAGCCAGGACCTGGAGAAGCAGATGTGATTAAGGATGCAAGATGATTTCAGAATGCCAGTGGCTTAGCAATTGTGTGTGTGTGTGTGTGTGTGTGTGTGTGTGTGTGTGTGTGTGTGTGTGTGTGTTTGAGAGGAGGAGGATGTTGCAACTGGGGCGGCCCTTCAACAATGATGGGCCTGACTCTATTGCCTTTAGAAACAATGGCTCCAGGGCTGGTTGGGTTTTAGAGTTCTTTGGCCGAAAGGGTTTTGTGTAGAGGTTGATACCTGGAGTTCTTAAGGTTTATGTTCACGGTTTGGAGATGCTATTGATGAAAGAAGTTTAGCCACATTATGGATTGAATGGTCCTTTATTGTCCAGCATGGGATTCTAGCAGCTATTGATTCCAAGGGAAAATTTGTTCAGATTTCCCAGCTGAGTAATTTACAAGTGTACTTTTAGGACACAAGCCCTTCATGAATTGGCTTCCAATTTGTTTCTCAAATTCCTCTTTTATTTCCCTTTTCTCTCTTTGGGATCTGTAGACTACTCCAATGACAGGATGGTTTGTTCCTGACTCTGTTAATCTTTACCCAAATGCTTTCCAATATCCTTCCTTCTCGTAGGTTCCTGGATTTCCTCACTTAAGTCATAATATGGCTCTCTATTCCATGCCCTCTCCCCTCTGACCTTTTCCTGATCCTGTTTTTCCTTTTGAATAAAGT